TTCCCTACAGGGACTTAGCAAACAGGTTCCAGAAAGGGGACTTCACTTCAGGGAAACCACCAAATGCTTGTCTTCGCCATCTGCCCGAGACTCCATCTTGGGGCAATGGCACTGCTGGAGCTGGTATCGCTGTGTCTGCGCTTTGGCACCTACTTCTACGGTGGGGTTGGTAAGTGGCCCACCAGAGGTAGGAACCCGACAACACAAAGCCGGCGCCTTTGACATTTCTGTTGCCTTCTGAGTTTGACATTTCTGTCGCCTTCTGAGCTTGAACGATTTCAAAGGTTTTGGCTTCTGCTGTAGGGTTCCATTTCATGGGCCTGCCAAACAACCTGTCCAGCCAACGGTGCTCTTGGCCGGACTCAAGCGGCTCTCCGCACTTTTCTGCAGAGAGCCCTTCTGCAGACATAAGCATGCAAGAGAAAAGATCAGATGATGTGAAGATGATGCGGTAAGAAACTAAATAGGCCCGAGAATGCTAGCTAGCATAAGCCCTGGAGCAGCGACAGTTACTATTGCCTGATGTTGTTTACACCAGGCCCAACCTTAAAGCCATGGTCAAACAATGAAGCCAGTTCGCGTGAGTTGCACAGCGTCTGGGTCCATCTTCCTGCCAGGGGATACAATGCGTTCAGCCACCTTGTGTCTCCAAATACTGGAACAATTACGTAGCCAGATAGCACCCCAAAACACGACCTACACATGCCGGCTACACTAGACTATGCAGTGCAGGGCAGCAACCAGGCATTCTGCGTTGCTATCATGTCCTTGTCATCGTTATCAAACACACATGCAAGTAGTAAACGACGCAGTACCAGAATTCTGGCGACACTCTTTCGACCATGTTGAAGATGACAAACGCTCTTACATGATCACAATACGATAACTAATCCAGCAGGCAACCTGCAAACAACCTGATGGCACAATCCAACCCAAAACTTTGACACCCAGCGTCTTCGAGCTGAACAATTGGCCTCGGTGCAGGAAGACACTCCGAGGCATTGAGGTGTGGGCAATGAATTCACACATGCAGCAGAAGAAACACATACATGAACCCATCACTTGGAAGCAAGCGCATGAGGACCTCATGCCACGTATCTGATGAGCCTACAGGCCTGGAGCTGAAACTGTAGGCGCGTGGCTCATCGCCCAACGATAGTAAGCCCTGGAGAGAATGCGTAGCCTGGTCACGGGCCAGCTTCCAAGCTTTAATGTCTTCAATCCCCCATTGCGCTGCCTAATGGCCACGGAGCGGCAAAGTTGAGGTTGAAAGCCTGGGCAAAGAGAAAGTCTTGGCCAGACTCCTCAACCAAACCAGGAGAAAACTAAGAAGCGCACTGATGGCAGCCGCAAACAAGCCCGCAGAGAGCAAGAAAACGACGACCGATAGCCTAGGAGAGCCGAGCACCACACACAGAGCTTACTGTGAAGCCTCTTCCAATCATGCAAATGGCTAAGCGGCAAATTCCAGGCTCGGCTAGAACTAAAACTGCTGCAGCTGCTGCTGCTTCGTTTGCTCTGCTACTACTAATGTTTCAGTGACTGGTACTTGCGCTTCGTCGTGCACACGTATCATAATTAAAAACCATACCTACCTCTACGGACTTGCTACACCATGACTCTAAGGCTTGCCCAGGGACGGTATGCCAGAAGAACCACTCGACAAGTCAGGAGATCCTAGCCATGCCATGAAAGCCAGCTGGCCAGAACGTACCAACCCTTGTGGCGAGGAGTCTTTTCCTGAATCCCGGAAAGCTTACGAGACTATTTCTTTTTGCACGGTGTCTGAGCAAAGCACTTCGTTTGGCAGGTTGTGCAGTCTGGAATGAACTGGACCATGGGGCAGCCGAGAACTGCTAAAATGTATGCCAGAACCATACGATGGATAGAGTCACTCCCCCCTCCTGTGCAAAGCTTTAACGCCAAAGTCCTGCACCGAAGGAAGGCGAGGCCCGGCTTCGGATGGCGGCTCGCATGTCCGCGTAGCTTTCAAAGCCTGTCTTGGGCGTGACTATCCTCCAGGGGACAAATAGCCAAGTGTGATCGCACCGCATGATGGCTGTGGTACTTCGTGGTGCTGAGTGGAAGGAAGAGCAATGGCTTCAGGCGGGGGAGGAGGATGAGGTGGAGAGATCGGCGGACGCAGTGGAAGCCTTGTTGCGGTAGTCGTCATGGGGCTAGAAAAGTAGTGATCATTCGTGGATGTAGAGGACAGGTCTCATAATGGTTGGTAATCATTGACATCAGCAATCACGAGACCAAAATTGGGAATGAAGGCAGCGGATGGACAGAGTAGAAGTACAGTAGAAAGCGGCACGGTGTTGAATTAAACGTAGCAAAACCGCAGTGAGTTGCAGTCGTGGCGGGGCCGGCTTTGACTTGACTCATGCTTCAGGGGCGTAGAGCGCATCAGTGGCTTTGAGGATGACCCTTCACACTTGCTAATCTAAGAAGTCAAATGCTCCTACGTTGGCAAGGACACGCACCTATAGCTAGAGGCGGTCACGCATACCGTAAGGTACCAAGCTGAAGTCTGGAGATGAATACAAGCTCTCCTCGACCAGCGCACATCGAGGAGCTCGTTAACCCTCTTGTCCACCTGCAGAACGAATATGGGCAATGTTTCGACTGACTTCTACTAATTCCTGAATTCTGCAATCGTGCCGTGTCTGGGCGGCCTCCACCTCCTGCTGGGGCAGCACGCGAGGGACCCTTGGAGTGGAACCTTTGTGGCTTCGTGGACCAAATACTGGGGCAGTCCGCAAAATCTGAGTGCTCTTAAAGAACATGTGGCAACCATTGACTGCGGAGAATTTCCTCAAGGTGAAGGAGGCTCCTAACGCCCAAGCAATCTCCTTCAGGCAACAGACCAGGCTCCACTAGCTTACTGGTTCTTAGTAGGGAGGGGTTATATTATGCTCCCTTGTTCCTTACTAGGAACCAGTAAGTTAGCAAGCCAGGTAGCCATCCTTTTCTCGGAAGGAGTCCATCTTCTCCAAGAGGAAGTGGTTATCAAATTTCGACTGGTGCCTCGCAGAACTGGATCAGCACGGCTGAACATAAGTGTATTCTTATTATCGAGGATGTAGTCTTACCCCACGGTATTGAGGAGTATGCAAACCCAATTTTAAAAACAAAAAAATATAATTACAAAAAAAACTACACACATTCAACCTAGGGTATCCTAGGGTGTCCCTGTGTGGTGTGGAACACCCAGAGCCTCCTCCAAATCTAGGACAAGTAAGTGGCCACCCGCCGCAAGCACTTTCTCATGATCGTGTTGTGACCCATGCTTTTGGGCTCCCTCGTCTCTTGTAGGCAAGGTTCTGCAGCATGAAGTCTCTAGAGCTCTGTGCTGCGATCTTCTTCAGCAGGTCGGACCCTGACCAGAGAAAACTAAGCTTGGAGCAAGGAAGGCTTGACAAATAGTAGTTTCCCAAGATAGGGGGGGGCCCAGTACAGACCCAAAATACCATAGTCCTTATTGTAGGAACCCCCAAAAGGTATTCCTAAGGACTGAGTAGTTGTGCCCCTGCCTGGTACGTTTGGAAGAAGAAATCTCGCAAGCCGACGAGTCCTCAGATGGGCGAAACCAACCATGGCAGCTAGTGCGCATGTTTCTACTTCAGGAAAATGCCCAAGGCATCCGCATTTAGAAGAATGATAGATAACACATGGGTACAGTACTAATGATTGTGTGAAGGGTGAAGGGGAAGAGTGAGTGTGGTATCCACCTGGCTTACTGTCCGATGCCGAGTTCTCACATACAGTAGCTTGTGGTGAATGCGGACCCTTCATGATGAAGCGTTCAAGCCCTACACCAGAATGTGAGAAGAGCGGCTGGCCCAATAAGTCATTGACCAAGTCCTTGCCGCCAGAAAAACAAGCAAAATTTACGGCCTGAGCATCTTGAAAGGATTTTGTGTGGTTCCCATGAAAACAAGGAAGCCCTCAAAGGGGCCCTGATGATGCAGCAATCCTCGTAGGCGATCCACAGGACCTGCGAGCATGGGCATTCTGGGCGTGAAAGAAGGGCGGCCTTCCTTTTGCCCAGGGAAAACGTCAATCATCCAGAACCTGCCTTCCATAATTTTTGCGCGGAAGCCAACCTGCAACTGCCTTCACCTCCATGGCAACACCAGCCACGAACTGGTCTAGTCAGAGTTCACTGCCCATGGCAACTCTACTTGTGTCAGGAGCAATCACAACAGAGCCCCCCGACGTCTGAGCCCCTACCTTGCCTGCGGATCTGACCAGCAACAGGAGTACCAAGACAGGATGTGATACCAAACGTCCTGAAGGGGTGGCACAGAAACCGACATGGTGTTGTGCTTCGGTTAGAGTGGCTTGCCCAGACTTCGGCCATGTACTCCTAGCAGTCCTAGCATTTTCCTTGGCAGAACGTCCCGCAACCTAAAAACTGAACACGATGTGATAATCCATAATCAGGAGCGTTTGGCTGCCTCCTACTGCACAGGCGCTCAGTCGTACGTGGAATAGGCTCTTTTGCATCCCAATCCACACTTCGAAAACCTTACTAGATGTACTCTTATTATTTCGAGCCATCAGCCGGATGACTAGTTAAGTGATGGATTTCGTCAGTTGAGATTGCAAACTCCCGTCGTTTGTGGACACTCGCGCGTAGACGGCGGCCACGTACAAGCCGATCGGAAAGTCGGCGGGCTTAAAGCCTGCTCAAGGAGATGCTGCGAAGAGCGGTGGCGGGACGTTTGGAGGAAAACTTAGCAAAACACGGGTTTGGCACACGTTGGGAAGAGATCCATGGTCTGCGATTGAGTCCATATGCTCTCATGCTGCATACCTGGAGTAAGCATGATCACACTCCTTCCAGACAGAGGGAGGATCCTTCTACTTCAAGCTGTGCTGTGGCGGATACACTGCACCAAAAGTCTGGCGCATGTTCTGCTAAGTCATGATCACAATCTGCTCGCCGCTTAGGATCTGCTGCAAGCATGTCATCTACGCATGAGTCGACGAGCCTGCTAGCCGTGCCCACGTGCCATTGCAGAACAAGCGATGCTGAGCCAAGAGGACCTGGGAGTAGCACAACGACGCAACGCCAGAAAGCGCTGTAGATGAATGGGACCCGAAGCTGAAATCTTTGCTGGCATGCGCACATTGCAAACCAAGGCACTTGAAATGGGTCTCTCATCAGCACAACGTATCGCATGCGTTTAGGGGCAGAGCTGTGGACGTGATGTGACTTGAAGATGCGAGGTTCCAGCTCCTGCTGACCAGCCAGCATCTCTGGGCCCCTCTTGGACCCAAGGGCGTCGTACCATGCCACGACCTCACTACATGACATGACTATTCGGAGATTGCCAGGCCCGAGGCTCACCCTACATGATGGCTTCCCGGTTCCTGTCGCAAAACAAAACAGAACGTTACTTTTCGCCGCTGGAAGACCTGGTTGAGGTCATCGAAGTCCAGGGAACCGTCTGTGCGCAGGCCGTGCAGGATGTGGCTCAGCCACGTGGTTCCAGCTCCCATGCTCCCAGCTACGAGGACGTCTGAGGCTCTTGCCTCCAGGCCCATGGACTCTTGGAAGGGCAAGAGCTCGCCGAAGGCCTTGTACGTGAACCTCTGAAACTTCTTCACAACGCCGTTGGACAGCTTCTGTAAGCTCCTTAACTGTTCCCGAGCACCCACAAGTATTTGATTTGACCAGCTTCCTAACATAAGCGAGCGGCACCCAGAGAGAAAACAAAAAACACACAACAAGTACGCAAGGCGTGAAGTCATGTCAAAAAGCAGTCCTAGGTTCCCTTCAGCCATGTGTGCCACCATCTCCAGCTCCCGAGGACCCCCAGAGCTACGCCTCACCTCTGCCGGGTTGACAATGATGATGCAGAGAAGCCTGTTTTCGTCTGCGTAGAAGATCGCATGGAAGTCTACAAGCCAAATTTAGAATGATAGCCAAAACTCGAGGTAAGAAATAATGTGAATGATTTCATAGCGCTCATGGACCAGCAGCTTCCCTTCTGAAGATTTGAGTCCCGACGCTCATCCTAACCACCTTCACCTGATAACAATGACAAATCTTCAAGTGCCGCTCAGGGTGCACTAAGAGGAGGCAACAACATATCGCACCCATGCGCCAACGTCGCGCGGATTCGTCCGAGTTGACCGTCGGCGGCTCGTAGTCTGGGGCGTACTCCCGACGGATCCGTTCCTGGGCCCCTGCTCCCGCTCCACTCAGAACACAAGAGTCCTTTGACCACAGAGTCCTCCCAGTCCTGACTAAGCAAACTTTATCCTAACAAAGACCGAAGCTCCAGCACCTCGCTGAGCACCTGCGAGGCCAGCTGGTCACCCTTGATGTCGAGCCTCCCATGCCGGAGGGCGTTCGAGATAGACAGGGTGCCCTTTCCCAGCGATGCCAGATCTGCATCCAGGATGCTGAAAGTGACGTCAGGATTGGGATCCACACCTTGCCGTAGAGCTCCGGCTCCGTGCTTCAAATCCAAAGTGAAGCTTCCTTGCGGTCCACCATCCCGGAGGTCAAATTGGTAGACAAACCCAGCCTGGCGGACCAGGGACACGCCCTTCTCCTGAATGGCGCGGCGTGTCTCATCAATCAGGGGCTGGCACAAGAGCCCCGGTGGCTGAGCCATGCACCTAGCGCAGGTACATGAAGGCCGACAGAAACGGCACTAAGCGATTACTACCTTGAGCCCAAGCAAGCTTCACCCTCGCCTGGTTCATGCTGAGAGATGCAAGCGACACATTGTACTGCATCCTTTCCACAAAGATCCTTCCGATGCCGACGACATGAACGACGTTTGCTGCAATCTAAGTCAGCAACACCCACAACAATCAACACCTCAGTGCCTTCTCCCAAGTGGACAGTGCATCAAGCTGCACTTCACTTCCGTTGTGTATCCAGCTTCCCAGAAAACGTGTTCACCAATGTGGGGCATGTGTACTAAGGGGAGGCTTGCTGTAAGGACCGAGGGATTAGCAGTCTCTCTATGAGACCCCTGCTTCATGCGTCAGGCAACTGTTGGGACCAACCATGTCGACGAACAACAAGAACTATGCTGGCATGACACTCCCATCCCAAGGCCTTGAAAGTTTCAACCCATCAAACTGCAAGCCCTTTTGGGTAGCTAGGCCCTGGCTCCTTCGCTTGGTACGCGCTGGGTCCTTGCCTCTCTGGCGGAGGCCTCAAATCTTGAACACAAAGTGCAACTGGATCCTAAGCCAATTACATCAATTGAATAACCAAGCAACCCTCATGTTATCATCAACTGCAAGACCCCCCACAATATCTTGATTTGTTCCCTTGAGCAGATTTTACGCATGCCCCAGTTGCCTTTCTCCCACTACATTGGACGTCGCTGGAGCACTGGTCTTGGATTCCTGCATGTAGGCAGCACCCCGAACACGTTGCGACGGGCGACTGCTGGGTCCTCAAAGCCACGGATGCGGAGCACATTTTGAACCATCTATTTATTGTGGTCTGTATGAGGCTGGCTTATACATGGGTCGGAGTGTTGAAGGCCCTGTAGTTTGACCACAACTTCAGTAGTCCATGTGGGCTTGCACGAGAGGGTTCTGGAGCCTACGTACAGAGATTGAAAGTTGGCCAAGGGCAAGTGCGCAACAGAGTACCTCATATGCGGAAGCATAACACATTCCTCAAGACCCTCCGTGTTATCAAGGTTGTGCTTCATGCCAGCGAGTTCCACCCAGCCATGCAGCCCAAACCTTCAGGACAACAGTATCCTGCTCCTTGCTTGCGTGAATGAGGACACAAAAAGCATTATCACTCAGAGGATTTTTGTTGCTGCCTCTGCTGTGGCTAGTTCGTTGGTGATGATGACGACGACACGGAACCAAACTACGGTACCAAGAACGGTAGGCACAGGAAAATATTTCAAATAAATAAAAAAACAAGAGCAGCCACTGATCTGGGCTGCGGCTGCAGCTATCATACAGACGGATGGTGGAGTTCTATCTTGTTGAAGGGTATTGCTTAGATGAACTAATTCTTTGTCGCAATTACCCCATCCCCTATGATTGCAACCTAAGCTGCCCGTGCCAAGGTCCAGGCTTCTGCAGGGGAAGTCAATTCCCTGGGCTGTGAGCTTCTCGTCTGGCTGCTTGCTAAAAGGACCCCCCTTGCTTACTTTGGGATCTTGACAAGCCACCAAGGAAACCCTGTCAACCTAGGCAATACCATGAATTACAACAAGAATCATCTAACCTCCAATAACTTAGGAGACGGCAAATACTACTTTACATCTAGAAAGCTTGGGAGTTGTAGGCTTCATGCGATGGTTTGGCACGGTTTAACGTTTATGTGTTGAGGCATTTGATGCTGAGTGTGGTTCAGGCGAGAAGCGGAAAAGGCATGGACTCTTATCCTGCACCTGTTGAAGACCCCGACGCAATCTCGGAAGCGGCTTCCCTTCACTCCAAAACGCAACAGCTTTGGACAAATTGAAGCCCCAAGAGCCCACGTCATGACATGCTGCAGATCCTTGTAGTAGGATAGCAAGGGAGGAATATAGCAGATATGCCAACGTTGTGTGGCTTTCGCACTCCTTGCAGAAGCTTGGGTTCTTGCAAAGCTTAGCGCTCTCTCCAGCGCCGTCGCTACCTGGCAGACAACAAAGACTTCTTTGAGCATACAGGGTGCTTTTCATCTCTAAAAGCTTCCTTCCACCTACCGTCAGGTACTCAAAGTTTCCCGAATGTGGCGTTCTGGCGTTTCTGAGGATTGGAGGCGCGGTCTGAATCGCAAGAGAAGCGATTCGTTGAAAGGACTTTTGAACAACGCATGACTCGAGCTAAGCAGGATGAACATATTATGCTGTCCGCAGATCGCTGCGTAGGCCTCTGTGACTGGAGGGAATTTCTATGGGTTGGTCTTCCGGTGGCATTTCTTACAGAGACGAAAGAAAACGATCAACAATCACAACTATACTTGTCAATACTTTACGTATCAATACAGACAGCACATCAAATGCCTCAATGGCTTGCAGCCTTCTTGAATCCCTGCCCAATTCTTATTCCCCGAGCCGTCAAGAGAGTGTACAACAGCTTCAGAATAGGCATCCGGATAACTAGTCTCAACATGTCTCAATTATATGCCCTCACTGATGAGTCGTTTGAGTGAGGGCCGTGAGTTTGCACAGTGAAGCCTATCCAAAACAGCCAGAAGGAGGTTCATGGGAGCCGCACCGACGCTGATCGAGGTCTTGGAGGACACCTGGGAGGTCCTTCCACGTCCAAGGCTCGTATGTGCTAATCCTACAGTAAATCAATGTATCATTCTCTATTAGGAAGATGCTCATGCCACTTGAGTTATGGAGTGTCACAACGACGTTGTTTTCTCACCGGGCTTATCCCTGAAGCAACTGCAAATCTAGGTGACATGCTTGGCTGGCTTCAAACCATCCTTCAGTTTGAGAAAACTGTTAGTTTTCAGCATGCCTAGATCTTGGGTGTGATTGATACATGGCTTTAATTTTGATGACAATGTCATACGATGTCCAACTTTGACAGCCAACGCATCACCAACATGTAATGACAATTCAAATATCGCGAACCTTGCGAACCCTCCACAGCGTGATGCTTTGCAGCAGGCTACGGCTGTAGGTGTCCTGCAGCTGGCGCGCACAGGACTTTGCGCGGCCTCTGCACTCTGCGGAAGTGATTGCGGATGTCACTAGCCTTGCAATCTCTCGTGTCAGGCTCATGGAATTCGTTTCTGAGGCTCAGGCGCGCCGCCTTTTGGCACAGACTCTCTTCGTTGCCTAGTACACGATGCTCAGAACCATTAAAAACCCAAAGCAAATGCCGCAGATGCATGGTACTTGTAGTTTCTGGCCTCCTCTTCAGTGCCCTGGCCACATCAGTCCTTCACAGGCTGATGAGGCATTTGCGAGGCGACTATGAGGTTTCCGCGATACTGTACAAACGCATCGCCATATACAGTATTATCGAGGAATAACTACATCCGAGGAATGTCCCCCTTAAAGTGGACTTGCAAGTTGGATTGTGGCCCAGATGACAATCATGCTCGGATGTCTGCTCGGGTCGCTACCTAGGTATGACAGCGAGATGGCGATGAGACAAAGGAGATCTCAACAATGGAGTCACTGGAGGCAGGTGAGAGGTGTTGCTATTCGAATTTAGATCCTCACCGCCCAAACAACACTTTCCGGGAACCCTTCTGCATCCCTTCACGGCCCAAGGCGTTGCCAACCTTCCGTGAGCCATTTTGCTTCCGCAAGGTATGTTCAATTCTTGGACTTTCTCGGGGAGACGCTTGATTCTGACAAAGCAACTATGACTTCAGCATCGACCACTAGTGGGTCACCAATATAAGCTATTATGGTTATAGCCCGCGCATGCACCACAACAAGCCCTTACAGTTAACTGGAGACAGCAGAGAGAACATCACCAGACAGAGGCACCTGGGATATCAACCCCTCACTCTCAAACAGAAAGCCCCCAAATACACCTTGAATGCATGGTTTGTGCTTTGAAGGTTGCTGGCCTTGGCAACGGTGAACTTGCCGCAGATCTGCAAGCCTGCAAGTGGAGGCGCAGCAAGATCAGCCCACTTTATCGGCCACTCCTCCAAGGTCTTTTGACTACGAGTCCATGGGCAATAAAACCACAAGTTCTATGGATTCCGCGGATTGTCTTACTCGAAGTTAGCCCTTGAGTCGCGATATCAATCCTCAAGTTGAAGCCGTGATGCTGGCATATGTCAGGCCTCACTGCTGCAGCTGCAGAGGCCTGCGGAATCAGTCTGCAACCAGCCACCGCCAGAGATGAATGTGGTTCAGTTTTCCAGTGGGCCCAGCTTCATTTCTAGGCCGGCCTGACTCGCTGTAAGGCATGGCTGGCCACGTGGCTGGCCAGTAACAGCTCGCAGACAAACTTTCTGCAAGCAATGGGGCTGCCAGCTCGGCAACCTTGTGCACCTGGAGAAGCTTGAGCCAGGAAATTGCTGCGGACACAGCAGTACCTGAGGATAGTACGCCCACGTTCACGAAAGCCGCGGAGCCACCATCCTTCTACCACACACCTTTTTGCAGGGTAGCTCTGTGAACAATGCGGGGCGGTCAGGCCCACGAAGTTCATTTACACAGGAACCGCCTTGCAGTCTGCCCGCTCTAGTTTAACAGGCGTTGTGCAAAGGTGCTCCTCCTGGTGGTCGTGGACCGGACCTCTGTATCACCGGCGTTCTGCGCTACCTTCATTGGGACCCAAAGAAGGGCTCGATAACCACTGGCATTGGCCACCTGTTCGTACTCGATGCGCAGGATGGCCCAGAATGTCCGCCGAAATATCTCCGCAACCGTCATGAAACAGTGCAGTATCTCGCGAATGACGATGTCCTCCGTCAGAAGCGACACAGGCATCAATGTCAAGACCCATGTCAGGCGCAAGAGGATGTCCATCATGATGGCAACATAATACAGATTCTGTGAGAAGTGTCGCTGTGGCGGACCTCTTGGCGCTGCAGCTAAGTCCACTGCTGTGGAGCCACGCCAAGAGCGGGGCGAGTCGAAGGTTTCTCCTGTCTGAGGACTGCGCAGCCCCCGCACATCATCCTGACAGTCGTTGAGGCCTCCACAGAAGATCTCCCGGAAACCGAGGCCCCAGTCCATGGAGACGTCCCAGATCGCTGCATATACTGTTGCCACCGCTGAAACAAGAATGACGACCCACTTCTGGTGTCCTGGCCTGCTCACAAAGACAACTAGAAGACTTGCGGCATACTTCCCAAGATTCAGCAAGTGGCGGCGTTGGCGAGTGTCGTGATACCGGCGGGCGCACTGAAGCAGCCGGAACCAGAAGGGAGCCCCTCCAATGAGCGGCTGTATGTAGCAGGCTTCCCAGGATGGGCAGGTACTCCCATTCTTGATGAAGAGGTTCATGGAAGACTGCAGCTGTGGGTGATGTGAGCCTTAGGAAGCAATCAGCCGAGGTCATATTTCAAAACAATTCCCTGCTCCGACTGTAGTCTTGCTGACGTTGTTCTTAGTGCACGTACTGGGCTTGCTGCTGAGGTAGCAGACAGCGGCCGGCACATCCTGCAATCACCGCTTGCGTGCCCTCCTAATTTGTTCTGAGGGTCCTTCAAAGAATGCACGTCCAATTTCTGTGAGCAATCCGCACTTTAGGTGCCCAAATGGCCGCTTTTCAAGATGGCCGCTTGCATGCATTGCCTCATCAAGTAGTTTAGCCTGCATGTCGGGAGGGTTCTTTGGGAGGTTCTAGCTTAGCTACTTCGGGAGGTTCTAGCTTAGCTACTTCTGTAAAACTTTCATTAGAGGGTCCCTGGTTGTAGACCTGGATACATAGATAGACATAGTGCGTCTACGAAGAAGCCACGTTATTGCGCTCAGCCTCTAGGACGAGATTCCGCACTTCAGCAAGACATCCAGGCATGCTCGGATATGCGTGATATGTCAGGCAACACCAAGGCCAAACCACCTTGAGAAAGAGATAGGCAGAGAAGAGGCAAAGACATGGAGAGTCCCGCTACAGAATGTCAAGGTCCCACCGAGCCGGTCCCGCAAAGGCTTCGCCAGGCTTGTGAGCACATCACCTCGAAGCTGGAATTCCAATAACGTGTTGCAACCAGTCAGTGGCATGTTGCCCTGTCTGGGTTCTTTGTATCATTGCCCCAGCTGCGGAAGGCAGATATCTTTTCTTCATGGGGTACGTACATGAAGACAACCAACCAAGTCTTGGCAAAAGTACCGCACAAATCATTGTTGGTTTATACATGCCAGGATGAACTTACATAACTTGATGTGAGTTTCGCCGCCAATTTGCAATGAGCAGGAGCGTCCTGACTCCTGACTGCAGGTGTACTTTCGCTTGAAGAAATACTGCGCAGACTTATCAGGGTTAGTGTAGCAAATAGTTGGCCACTCGCTCATTTGTCGCATAACCTTCTACCTGAACACTTGCTCTACAATTCGCTTCAGAAGACCCATCATCACAATTTAATACCCTACAGTAGGTTAGTAGTCCTTGGAAGACTGTGGGGCACCGGCCGATCATGTTGTCGCAGAAGCTGACAGCACAGAGCGGGGCCTGATGGTGCGGTACGCAAATCTGATTGTTCCTCTTGATTGTACTAGCACTAGTAGCACTGCATTTGAACTAGATGCTGGACTGATACTCCGGAATCACTTCTGTAGCGGGTGATACGTCTTCGCATTGAAACTGCGGTCTGCCTGTGGTTAGGACACTGGACATCGATGAAATGGGGGCATAATGGAATGTACGTTATTTGCTGCAGGCTTGGGTGGCGAAACCACAAGTCAAACATCTTGCTCATGGCTGCGGCCATGCGCATGCGAAGCAGTGCTCGGTCAAAATTGCTCGTCCAGGAGCCAAACATTGAGGAATAGCACCTGGTTCATTGTCAGCCGTGAATGCGCACTGAGCTGTGGACGATGCATGTTCTCCCGATACCACGCAGAAGCTGCGCCTCGCAAATGCAGCTGCCAGTGGCCTCTGAGTATGCTACAAGCCTGACTACCCTTCCCGAGCAGGAGAGATGCTGGGCGCCTTATAACGAAATCTGCAAATAGACGAAGGCTGCACAAGGAGCAGGAAGGAGACGCCTGCCAGTACATCTCTGCAGGAAGAAATACTTCTGTTGGAATCGCTGCAACCGGCTCCTGCCTACCAGCACCACAGGGTATAGGACATAGTGCCATGACGCACGCTCCAACATGGTGGAGGAAGACCAGACCTCAGCAGGAACCAAGACCACTGATGCCACTAAGACGCGGGGACTAGCGAACGCCGTGGGCGGGCAGCTACGCAGTGTTTGCAAGGATCAAGCGAACCACAGTGCTACGACTGCCGTCGCCACCACAACCGTCACCGCTACCACCACCATGCCACCGCCACCAGCCATACCTATTCAGCAAATTCCACACATGCACACTGAGCGCCTATGCTGTTTAGCTGCGCGTGATGTTGGCGCAGGGAAGCACATCTGATTGATGGAGCTTTCCCCGGCGTGTTGCCAGAGATGCTGCCATAAAACAGAGGTCTGCATCAGCTTGTCGTCAAGTGCTGTAGGCTTTCTTTGCTGTTCGCAGCCGGAAGCCCACAGACAGAAGTGGTTTAGACCCCTGCAATAACCAGTTGATTCTTTGATCAACCAAGTTCAGCTGTGCAACTCTTCGATGAGCATGGCTAGGTCACGGAGCGCATATCCACATGACAGAGTGTCAGCCTCAGCCATCAGTTCAATCTGCGGCTGTCGGCTCCACCAGTGCTATCACCCACTAAAGCCACTGTTTTTTCTCTATAGCCACTTCCTTTCTCTAAAGCCACTGCTTTTCCGTTTGATACGAGTTGGAGGATCAAACAAGCGATGGCAATCTGTACTTTGCTGGATCCCGGGCCCCCCGAGAAGGCGTTCCGGGAGCTCGTCGGGCTGCAAACCCTGGCCGGATGTCGTTTGCATGGGGCACTTTCCATTACATGTTGCTTGAAAAATCCGATTGCTGGGATAGGAATATGAGTTTTGAGATCTCGAGCGGCTCATAGGCCTTGTTGTTTTCATGTTGGGGTTTCAGGGTGTGGGGCAAAATTACTTCCGCCCAGCATTGGGCTAGGGCGGCTCGAGTACAGGATTCTGACTTGTTGTGTTGAGACTTCTGGCAACTGCCAAGTCTGAACATGCCTCCAGGAGAACAAACAGCTCCAGGGCGGAAGAACCGTCATCGAAGATGCCTGCAAGCACTGGTATATGCGGGATATATAGTACAATTATTGGGGATCTATAGGGATGTGTGGGGGTATATGGGGATAAGGAGCTCTATGGCCCAACACTTGCCTCTTTGATCCCCCAACATCTCCCAACTGCTTGCAATAGCACATTAAATTGGGGTTACATGGGGATAATGGAAAAGAAAATGGAAGCTACTATAATGAGGTTACTATAATGGGGTCATATGAGGGTTATTTAGACTTGCCAAGGATTTCATCTGAATGCGAAACTTGGAATCACCTAGGATCCTACAGGTGGCTCCCAACTTGGCTGCCGCAAGGCGGCAACACACCTGTCCCATAACTTCTGTCGCTGGTGGAATGCTCAGGGGGCTATAATTAACAGAACGTCTGCCTACCCTGATTAGTCCAGAGAGCTCCGCCGCTAACCAAGAAGGTCCTCGTATTCTTCGGCCCATGGAGGACTCCGCCATGTCCACGGAAGCCTCCAAGCATTCCTGCGGCTTGCTTTTAAATCTTACGGCCCAATAAATAAGAAGTGAATTACGCCAGCGCACAGTAGGCCCCAACAAGTCAGATATTACAAGTCACTGAGCCATACTGAGCCCGATTGATGCGTCCGCAAGCAAGCATGTCCTTCTGCTGAAAGTAGCTGATCCCTGCAGCGCGAGGAGTTCGGAGGTCCAGAATGTTCAAGCAATTCTGGACTGCCGGAATGACAACAGGTTCTGATGGGCAAGCGAGCATGCTGTTGCAACTGGGAAGAATGTATTATCAAGAAAGCTATCATCACAGAGTTGGCTGCTCAAATTGGAACTGAAAGCTGCTGGGACACTGACAGGTCAGACAAGACCAAATTTACAACGGATCAGCCAGGAATTAAGAGGCATGGGAAGTTACTACAGTAACAACAATAAGCGCGACCAAAACATGGCTATTGTGGGACGCGGTGCAGACTATACACATATCGAAAAACTGGCTAAAAGTTCGGAACAGCACCGCTTGCAGGTGACAGCTGCGCTGCTGAGCTCATGCAGACGAGCAGCTGCACTGATTTGCAATGATCGCCGGCTTGCTTCCAACCGCCTCACTGCAACTGGAAAGTTTCTGTTGATGAAGGAGATTGGAATCCATCTCTTGTGAACTGGACTGGATGGGGCAGACTTTGCCACAGAAGCTGTTGCAAGGATTTGGCTGTAATGACAAGCCGCGGGTCGATTCGGACAGTCACTATTTGTGGAATAGCACGAGAATTCAACCAAAACAAACGTGATCACAGTCTACAGACTTGAGCGCTCCTGCCTGCTTCAACATGAAGGAGCCCTCCAGAACTCGCGCGATGAGTTTGAGGCCTGACCGCTTTAAAGCATTGGACAAAGTTGTTCATGGAATCTGTCGGTGAAACTTCCATGTCATAAACGGGTCCCGTTTTGGGAGCCGCTAAAAACCTACGTCGAAATCAATATTATTCTTCGTGTCCCCCTAGATAACTGCTGAGTTAGAAAAATCTCCATATTGACCATATTGTTTTTAGCACAAGGCCGGAAGCCTACCCCCCTTAAACCAAAACATACCTAAAGACGAAATCCCCAAAACCCAACACCTTTCTGGGCCCTCCCACGCTTGTCGCGCTCCGATGCGGGCATCTCTTGCAGGAACCTCCGGCGACTGGAAGGGACCACGATCTAATTTACACCTGGTTAGTGGGGAATGAAGGACTTGAAAAGAAGATGGCAACTAGTAGTATAGTATTCAGGGTTAGGACTTCTACAAGTATAAGGATCTATTCCTGCATTCCTTGCTATCCTGAGGTGGGGGTTTTAACAAAGTAAATGGGGGTTTTAACAAAGCAAGTGACCTCCATTCTCTGCTATGAGCTTTTTTTGCTCTTTGCTGCAGAGTCCCTACATAGTAGTAAACCTAGCGTTTCCCCGCAAGTCCTGGCCTCTGGAAAAGTCTGCCCTGCCGCGAATCCAGCCATTCGGCCTCCTTCGCAAGGCGCAGCCCAGTCGTTCCATGAAGTCTTTCGAGGAAAGATTGAAGTCGTTTCATGGTTTCAGGTTGGAACTTCGGGAACAGCGGCTCAGAACTGGCTGTGCTTTCAGGCAGCAGATTTCATGTTTACGAGCTCAAAGGATTTTGTGCTCGACTGAGTTCGGATGCTGACAAAGCAGTCATGATATTCCGTAGTGCTTCCGGTTCTTCCATTCCCAGCCCCGGAACCAAAGTTCAAACCTGCATCGCTCTGTTCTCCCGATCATCAACGACAAGTAAGTACTCCTCTTGAGTCTTTGGGAGGCTTTGGTATACTAACTGAAGATGCGCGCATCTTCTGACTGCAAAGCTACCAGCGTGGGAACCTAAACCTGTCACTTTCAGCTCTTCTTTCGTTATCTTCCGGTTGCCTGCGGGACCGACCAGCAGGCCACCAGCTGCGAGTCCGGCAAACGGAAGTTGAGGACCAGCGAGAAACCGGAATCACCTGAATAACAAATCAATTTTGCCACAGTACAGTAACAATTCCACCCAGGCAGCCCAGAATGGCACTTCTCCTCTGCGCCACAATCTGGCTCAATTCAATCAGTTGTTCACGTGAGCTCCCTGAGAGGGCTATATTTCCCTTGACTTAGCACTACATTCTACACTCTGAGCAGCCGGCCTTGAGCCTGCCATCTTTGGCTGGCGCTGAAGCACTCCAGGTCCTTGTCCAACATGTCAGCTGATGTCTAAGAGACAAGATAAGCCACTTCCTGGCATACAAGAAGCTCATCATGCCTTTAGTTTTGGATAGCTTGAGATTTCAAACCTGCATCCTGACCTCGCACCTCAGCTACAGGCTTGAAGAGCAAATCCGAGCAAGGAGGCAGGACTAAATGCCTACAGTAACTTCTGTCGGTCCCTGCCACGGAAGAGGTCCACGAAACGCAGAGCCAGCATTGGGCTCTCTGTCTCCCGCTTCCTGCAAGACACGAACAGTCAGCAGGCAAAAAGCCACATGACATGGTTTAGGGCCACGGGAAGGGATGACCGAGTAAAGCTTGCCTAAGGAATTAGCGCCCATCTCCAACATCGAGCACCTGGAGATCCTGACGGAAAAACATCCAGGGAGCCTACAGTCATCTGGTCCCCACGGACACTCGGGACGGGGCCTACCAAAGCTTTCCCGTCTTAGGCTTGCAGCTTTCAAGTGCGGGCTTTACCTCATAGATCTAACTTACCCGGTATAAGAACACAAATGGATCTTGACAGAAAGGAACTATCGACTCCAGCCTTTTAACCTAATGAGCGAGCTTGTCTGGGCAAAGGCATCCGGCAGCGCCTCCGATCCTGCAAGTAGTCTGGGCCACGGACCTTCGAAGGACTCTGCAAATTCAGCTTCCACTGGGTTCCCATTAAAGCGTGCCAGCACGAAGAACACACACACACACACACGCGCGCGCGCGCGCGCGCGCGCACCGAATCCTTTTCGGCAAGAAATCCCGATTGAACTGGAAGAGCTTGGGGCCTTGATTCCGGCACCATCAGCTTCGTCCCAGCCTGGAACGGCCATGTTCCCAGCAACTGCACATGGGCTGTTGCCAATATTCTTGTTCCTGGAACTGAGCTTGATTCGGTTTTCCCTGCGTGCC